AGAGAGAGACAAGAGGCGTGAGCGGGAGAGGCAGAGAGAGACAGAATCGGAAGCGGAACCGAACCACAGACCCATCAGCAGAGCCAGGGAGCACCAGTGAACTCACGGACGAGAATCGTGACCGGGCTGAAGTCAGGCAGCTTAACCCGACGCTGAGCCACCCGAAGCCCCATGTTACACTATTACTAATCGTAGGTCCTTTTGCCTAGTTCTGCTAGTAACAGGTTGTTGGGACCCTAGGCCCATGTGGCTGCTAGGATCTTCTTGAGTACTCAAGTTCTAACACCACCACGCCTCCAGATAAGCCTTCCCAAAATCCTCTGGCTAAGGCAGCCCTTGGAAACCTGGGCATGATAAATCCGACTTCAGCCAGGTCACGATCTGCATGATCCATTGAGTTCAGGCCCAGCGTCAGGCTCTGGGCTGATGGCGATTCTGTGTCTCCCCTCTCTCTGCCCTCCCCGTTCATGCCTGTCTCTCTGTCCCAAAAATAAATAAGCGTTGAAAAAAAAAATTTTAAAGGGCAACCCTTGCCATGCCTCCACCTTTTACATTTCTATCCTGCTGTCCCTAACATATATTTACTATGGTCTCTCTCTCCCCCCAGGAGGCATATGTGTCCAGGGACTACTCTGCTGTATGCCCGAGGACTACATAGCTCACTTCATATGGATGTTCAATAAATACTTAATAATTCCTTAAAATTTTGCTTTGTTAAGCAACTGAAAGAACTTTTTTGAGCTGAAAATGAAGTATAGGTGGTCTGAAAAGGCCTAGCTGGGAGTGATTTATAACCGCCTTATTTTTGCTTCCTAAACTATGAATGCCTTGTTTCCAAAAAAGGTATCATTATTAATATAAACTTTAAAAATGCCACATCTGGGGGCCCTGGGTGACTCAGTCAGTTAAGCATCAACTTCAGCTCAAGGACATGATCTTGAGGTTCATGTAGGTTTGACCCCATGTCGAGCTCTGTGTGACAGCTCAGAGCCTGGAGCCTGCTAAGTTCTGGGTCTCCTTCTCTCTCTGCCCCACCTGCCTTTGTACTCTCTCTCTCGTCTCAAAAACAAATAAACGTTAAAAAAAAATTTTTTTTTAAAAGAAATAGTGTAATGTGACTCCGTTGATCAAGTGTCTGACTCTTGATTTTGACTCAGGTCATCATCTCATGGTTCGTGGGTTCAAGCCCTTCTTTGGGCTCTGTATTGACAGTGCAAAGCCTGTGTGAGATCCTCTCTGCCTCTCTCTCTGTTCCTCCCCTAATCGGTCTCTCTCTCTCAAAAAAATAAACTAAAATTAAAAAAAGAAAGAAAGAAACAGTGTAATGTGTCTGAGGGTAGAAAGAAAGCTGGCATGGTTGGAGCGGAGTGAATGAGGGGAAGGAGGGTCAGGGATCCAGTCATGTAGGCCTTAGTAGGCAATGTAGAGTTTAAATTTTATTCTGATCATTGCAAGTCATTGGAAAGAATTAAGAAGTGACGTGGGTCGTCTCACTGACAACACTTTGAGAAGCCCCCCATTTGTTGTCCTGTGGAGAATTGCCTCTTGGGGAACAGCAAGAGCAGAAGTGAGGAGGAAACCAGTTAGGATGCAGTTTCAGTAACCTGAGTGAGGTGATGTTGGTTTGGACTGAGATGTTAGAAGTGGATAACAGTGTGAAGTTGTGTTCAGGAAATATTTAAGAGAATGACAAGCCTTACTGAAAGATTGGATGTCTGGGACGAGCAACTAAGGATGATCCCCACGTTTTTGGCTTAAATAACTGGGTGATTGCTGGTTCAGTATTGTAAGACGACAAAGACTGGGCAGGAGCAAGATTTTTTTTTTCCCTCCCTGAGGAAATAGTACAGATGGAAAGACACAGCAGATGTGGCAAAATGTTAACTTTGGTGAACATAGTGTGAAAGGCATGAATATGCTCATTGTGCTATTTTTAAAGTTTTCCTTAGGTTTGAAAACGTTCAAAGAATTGGGGGGGAGAAAGAAGAAAAAGACATTGCCTCACAGTAGTACGTTTTCTAAGAAACTGCCTTACATTTTATCATTTGGAAATACATTTTAAAAATGTTAAAAATGATTTGTCTTTTGATTTTTATATCCCACTATATTTTTCCTAGTATAATTTTTATACTATAATAATAATATAACAAAATTTAATGCTAATATAATATTTAATAATATATAAACTATGTAATAATTATTAAATCCTTTTCCATCAGGTTTCAGATCGACAGAGCTATCTTGTCATATCTTTGGTTCTCTGTGTTGTCTTGGGACTGATGCTTTGTATGCAGCGCTGTCGAAACCCCTCTCAATTTGATGGAGATTATATTTCAAAACTTCCTAAAAGTAATCAATATCCAAGCCCTAAAAGGTAATATCAGCATCTTATTTCACATTTTTTACTGTGTTTTTTACATTTTTGAGAATTTTGACAGAATAAAGGAATACTGAGATAATTTTTCCCCCATATGATTGTCTTACAACTGCAGTGTTAAAACATCATTGGAACTAGAGAGATGGTCCTGTACCTGGAAGGTTCTGTAGCCCGGATTAAAGAGAAAACACTAATAGGAAGTGCATACCCTTGAAATGTTTTGGTTGTAAAGGATGCTCGAATGTGGAATTCAAAGGGAGAGGATAATAGATATTTTAATATAGCACCTTTTAGAGAATGACCTTTAAAGTTTTTTTTTTTTTTTTTTTTTTTTTTTTTTTTTTTTTTTTACACATAATAAACAATAAGTGGAGTGTTACACTAGAGATCAGTATTCTGGGGCGTGTTTAATTCTCGATAGCTTCCATCAAGCCCCAACTGCAGAGTAAATTATATGTAGTTTACCCTGTTCTCAGTGTTGGTTTTTCTTCATGTTTTAGATGTTTCTCTTCCTATGATGATATGAATTTGAAAAGGAGAACCTCATTCCCACTCATCAGATCCAAGTCTCTACAGTTAACTGGCAAAGAAGGTAGATTTTTGTGTAATATGTATACATACACATGAATGTGGCTTACTTCTGGCATAAGTATAATGTCAGTGTTTTGTTCGAAACCATCTGCAACAGAATAGTGGGTACAAGTAACCTTTGTGTTTGTGCTGTGTCAAAGCTGCCTTATCATTTTCACACTTTATATATATATCTTTGTTCCTAAAAGCCTAGAGGGTGGGGAAGGGGGGCTTAGTTTAATTAGCCATTGGTAGCTTTATTTGCACCTGCTCCTGTTTAGAAGTATTTCTTTTTAGAAAGGGATGTTTGAGAAAGTTCAACAGATTTGGAAAACCTGAATGTGCTCCCATAGCATCCTGTGCTTATCTGCCTCCTCTTCTTGTACAGGTAGGACCCCTTTTGTCTCTAGTTTAGGACCATGAGGCACTTTCTGAAAAAAAATCTAGTCTACCTCTTATTTATAGGCCAGGGTCTATAATAGCGTTCCATTGTCTGACACTCAATACTTAAATTCAAATGAATGAATATGTACTGAGTGGCTGTTTTTCTGTATCCGTTCTTTTGTAATTTGTACTTATTATTATTTTTTGTAATTAGTACTTATTAAGAGACTTATATTTATAGCAGTATTAAAATAACCAAATTAATTGTATATTTCAGTTAGGAATGCTTTCTCAATTATTGGCTCCCCTTTCTTTAGGACTTAGTATGCAGCAGCATGTTTCAGCTGACTAACTCACTTGAGTGATCATTGCTGAGCATCACTGGTTTTACTGTTATCACAAAGCTTTACTGATTTAACCCATTACATATGTGCTTACTTACGATTAGTAAACCTCTTCTTTCTTCCTGCCTTTTTCTCTTTTTCTTCTGTTGGCTGATTTTTTACTATAACTGAAAAAATTTTTTAAATTTATTTTTAAGTTTATTTACTTATTCTGAGAGACAGAGAGAGAGAGAGAGAGAGAGAGTGTGTGAGTGTGTGCAAGCAGGGGAGGGACACAGGGAGAGGGAGAGAATCCTAAGCAGGCTCTGCGCTGACCGTGTGCAGCCGAATGTTGGCCTTGAACTCACAAACCCATGAGATCATGACCTGAGCCGAGATCAAGAGTCGGAAGCTTAACTGACTGAACCACCCAGGCACCCCTATAACTGAAATTTTTGATTGAAGTGTTACATGTAAGAAAATGTAATTACATGTAAAGCTTGGTGAATTTTCTTTTTTGTTTTAATTATTTTACTTTATTTTTTAAAAATTTACATCCAAGTTAGTTAGCATATAGCGCAATAATGATTTCAGGAGTATAATCCAGTGATTCATCTCCTATATATAATACCCAGTGCTCATCCCAAATGCCTTCCTTAATGCCTCTTGCCCATTTAGCTCATCCCCCACCAAAAACCCCTTCAGCAACCCTCAGTTTATTCTCTGTATTTAAGAGTCTCTTATGTTTTTCCCCCTCCCAGTTCTTATATTATTTTTGCCTCCTTTCCCTTACGTTCATCTGTTTTGTATCTTAAGTTCCGTTTGAGTGAAGTCATGTGATACTTGTCTTTCTCTGATTAATTTTGTTTAGCATAATACAGTCTAGTTCCATCCACGTAGTTCCAAATGGAAAGATTTCATTCTTTTTGATTGTCGAGTAATACTCCATTGTGTATATATACCACATCTTCTTTATCCATTCATCAGTCAATGGACATTTGGGCTCTTTCCATATGGCTATTGTCCATAGCACTGCTATAAACATTAGGGTGCATGTGCCCCTTTGAAACAGCACACCTGTATCCTTTGGATAAATACCTAGTAGTGTAATTGCTGGATTGTAGGGTAGTTCTATTTTTAATTTTTTGAGAAACCTCCACACTTTTCCAGAGTAGCTGCACCAGCTTGCATTCCCACCAGCGGTGCAAAAGCGTTCCTCTTTCTCCGCATCCTCACCAACATATGTTGTTGCCTAAATTGTTAATTTTAGCCATTCTGACAGGGGGGAGGTGGTATTTCATTGTGGTTTTGATTTGTATTTCCCTGATGATGAGTGCTGTTGAACATGTTTTCATGTGTCTGTTAGCCAAAGCTTGATGAATTTTCATAAACCAAATGAACACACCTGTATGACAATACCCAGATTAAGATGGAGAACTTAGGGTGCCGGATGAATTTTATTACTTTATGTACCTCATGGAAATATATTAATCGTAAAGTATTTGTTTTTCTGTGACTGGTTTTTTTCACTGAACATCATGTCCTCTGGGTTCATCCACGTACATGCGACCAAATTTCCTTCCTTTCTAAAACTCAGTAATATTCTGTTTTCAGATATACCACAATTTGTTTATTTCATCTGTTGATAGGCATTTAGATTGTTTCCAGCTCTTGGCTATTGTGAATATTGCTGATATGAACATGAGTGTGCAAATGTCTCTTTAAGACCTTGCTTTCAGTTCTTCTGTATGTATACTCAGACATTGGATTGCTATATCATCTGGTAGTTTTATTTTTTTTATTTTTTATTAAAAATATTTATTTTAATGCTTATTTTTAAGAGAGGAAAACAGAGAGCACAAGTAGGGGAGGGGCAGAGAGAGATGGAGACACAGAATCGGAAGCAGGCTCCAGGCTCGGAGCTGTCAGCACAGAGCCTGACGCGGGGCTCGAACTCACAACCGTGAGATCGTGACTTGAGCTGAAGTCAGACATTTAATCGACTGAGCCATCCAGGTGCCCTGGTAGTTTTATTTTTTGAGGAAACTTTCCACTGTTTTCTATAGTGGCTGCCTATTATACAATCCCTCTAGCAGTATACGAGGGTTACAATTTTCTCCACATCCTCACCAACACTTGTTTTTGTTTGTTTGCTTGTTTTTGTTTTTTGGATAGTAGTCATCCTAATGGGTGTGGTGAATTCTCATTGTGGTTTTGATTTGCATTTCTCAGATAGAAATGTTGAGCGTCTTTTCATGTGCCTGGTGGACATTTGTAAATCATCTTTGGAGAAATATCCTTTGCCCAGTTAAAAAACTTTTTTATTTGATATTTTTCTTTTTTAACTTTATTTAAATCCAAGTTAGTTAACATATAGTGTAATCATGGTTTCAGAAATAGAATTTAGTGATTCATCACTTATGTGTAACACCCAGTGCTTATCCCAGCAAGTGCCCTCCTTAATGCCCATCACCCATTTAGCCCATCCCACCTCCCCTCCAGCAAGCCTCAGTTTGTTCTCTGTATTTAAGAGTCTAGGGGCACCTGTGTATTTAAGAGTCTAGGGGCACCTGTGTGGCTCAGTCGGTTAAGTGGCCGATTTCATCTCAGGTCATGATCTGACAGTTCATGGGTTCAATCCCTGTGTTGGGCTCTGGGCTGACAGCTCAGAGTCTGGAGCCTGCTTCAGATTCTGTGTCTCCCTCTCTCTGCCCCACCCCAGCTTGCTCTCTCTCTCTCTCTCTCTCAAAAATAAATAAACTTTAAGAAAAAAAAAGAGTCTCTTATGGTTTGCCTCCCTCTCTGTTTTTATTTTTCCTTCTATTTGGATTTTTTGTTAATTTCTTTATATATTCTGGATATTAATCCCTTATGAGATACATGATTTGCAAATGTATTTTCCCATTCCTTGGATCATTTTTTCACTCTCGATTTTGCTTTGATGGACAAATGTTTTTAAGTTTGACGAGGTCTCATTTGTCTATTTCTGCTTTTGTTGCCTATACTTTAGATGTCATATCCAAGAAATCATTGCCAAGTCTCGTGTCATGAAGTTTCCCCTGTTTTCTTATAGGAAGTTTATAATTTTACACCTTAGATCTTTAATCCATTTTGAGTTAACTTTTATATATTGTGTAAGGTAAGGTCCAACTTCATTCTTTTGCATGTCAGTATCCAGTTTTCCCAGTACCATTTGTTGAAGAAACTGTTTTTTCCCCCATTGACTGGTCTTGTTACTTTTGTTGAAGATTATTTGACCATATGTGTAAGAGTTTATTTCTGCGTTCTTTATTCCATTGGTCTACTTATCTCTCTTAGTGCCACACCGTTTTGACTGTACCTTTGTAACACATTTTGAAATCAGGGGTGTGAGCCCTCAAACTCCATTCATCTTTTTCAAAATGGCTTTTTCTATCTGAGGTTCCTTGAGATTCAATATAAATTTTAGGATGTATTTTTCTATTTCAACAAAAAAAAATATTGTTGGGATTTTGGTGGGGATTAGGCTGAATCTGTAGATTATATTGGTAGTATGGACATTGTTTAGTATGGACAGTATTAAGTGTTCCAGTCATGAACGTGAGATGTCTTCTCATTTGTTTGTATCTTCCTTAATTTCTTCCATCAATATTTTGTACTTTTCTTACACATTCTTAGGCTTATTCCTAAGTAGTTTATTCTTTTTGATACTTTTATCAATGGAATTGTTTTCTTAATTTCCTTTTTGGATTGTTCATCATTAAAGTATAGAAATACAGCTGATTTTTGTATTGATTTTGTATCCTGCAACTTTGCTAAATCCATTTATTAATTCTAATGTTTTTTTTTTTTATTCTTTATTTTGAGGGAGGGAGGGAGAGAGAGAAAAAACACAAGTGGGGGAGGGGCAGAGAGAAGGAGATTCATATACATGATTGCATCCCATTTCAATATTGTATAGTATTTCAGTAACTGACCAGTTCACAGTGTATTTATCCATTCTGCTACTTACAGTTGGGGCTATTATAGGTAATGCTGCTGTAAACATTCCTTTGTATACTGGAACATAGTTGTATGAGTTTCTCTAGGAATATTACTTATATTTAACACTGCTGGGTTGTAGGTCATGTTTATCTGCAAATGAACAGATAATGGTAGACTTTTCCAAAGTGGTCATAACAGAGTATGCTTCTACTAGTGCCTTGAGAATTTCCATTATTCTACATTCTTGCCAACAAACACCGGATTCTCAGGTTGTAAAGTGTTCGTTAATCTTATCACAGTTATAATTTGCATTTGCCTGATTACTAATGAAGTTGAACAACTTTACTTATGC